GGAAAGGAATAAAGTGTTCCTGAGAGATAGTGTTATAGAAGGAGAAAACAGGTCCAACAGGCTTGGGGCAGTGAAGAAACAAAACCCACAGCCTGTAAAAAGCTGTTTTCTGTTTGCCCAGCACTCAAGACTCTTCTCATCAGGGTGAATCTTTTCAACTTACTCTATTATTTTCTGTGCACACAATATGTTAACCCAGGAAAAACTAAACAGAATTTGAGTCACGTCTTGAAACTTTGGCCTTGTATATATAATCTTACTACCTCCATTGGCATGATTCCAACAAAAACCAAGTAAAATGGAATGCAAGCAAAGTGTCAGCATCTTTTCTCAAACAATTTCCTTTGCCTCCAAGTTTGATTTGACATAAATGCATAATTGCTAATAATAAGCAGTAGTATAAATGTGTGAATACAAATAATACTGTATTTATAATTTATAAAGTACTATAAGCATATTATAAATAAATAAAAATTGCATATCCTGGTAAACATATAAATACCCAAATTTTAATATTAATAAGTGCTAATAAATGCAGTCATTAAAAATTTAGAGATACACCTAAGTATTTTTTTTTAATTTAAAGAGAAGAGGAAGTGTGATGACGTGAAAACAATAAACAGCTTTATTGGTTCTGCCTTCATTTCACATACTACTTTTTTAACTTCAGTCTTTGTTCTTTCCCACAGTTGCATTCTGACAGAAGAGGCCCACATGAGGAAGTGGGGAAAGAAGGAAAAAAAGATGACCTTATAGTCTTTTAGTCCTATTTATACCAGTGTCTGGATTCCAAGTGCTCCTGGAGCAAAAAAGGTAAATTTGAAGGAAGATTCATGTCCTGCCCTCTGTGGTAGGACATGAGTGAAGTTCACAATGACACAGACCCATAACAGATACACTTAGAGCTGCTGTGCAGCTGCTGAACTTGTGTTCTGAGAGTTTCAGGAGTTTATGGTGATATAGTCTGTCTTTATTAATAGCAACTGTTAAATTCTAACATTAAGTGACTGAATCCTAATGACTTACTGAACACCTTGTATGTGTGTGTACAGAGGCACACGTCATTCACCTTGCTGACATTCACTTGGCAAGTTCCAAGTTGCATAAAATCTTCCTAGGCAGTGTAGCTTTCAAGATTAGGCTCATTTAAAGAAAAGGCTGTCAAAATTAGCATTTAATTTGCCAAGTTAAAAGTAGGCCTGTGTAAGAGAGAGGGAGAAGGCAGTACTTGTATCATATACATTTCTCTCTATTTGATGTTAGTCACATACTGCATACTAAGTCACTACTTAGAACTGTCCTGTTATAAGTTCTTTATTCCAGTTGTTCACCAAAAGTTTTATATATTTAGATTTGCACGTGGAATAAGCTAAAATGCCAAAGATAATCTTAGTTCAGAAAAATACAGGACCAACATATTTAAGTCACACGCTGTTTTTTCTTAAAGGCAAAACTTAGAAGCTACTGTAGAATCCAAACCTCCAAGAATCCATACCATAACTGGATAAATGCCAGAATTCTCATAGGTAAGAAAGCACCAGGCAGATCATCAAGATAAGCCCACTGGAAATTTCACATCCAAAAATAATGCTTTCAGGATACAGAGTTATGTGTCACCATTAGAAAAACCTTGAGAGGTGTCTGGAATTCACTGGGACAATTAAAAACTCATCTGCTACAGAACCGGTTAAATGTATCTGTTTCAGCCCACACGGTGCCAGCTGGACTCTTTCCCTCACTCTGCCATAACACATTGATTTCCCCTCTTCACAGGGAACATGTTTGCCAACAGCTGTGTGCCACACACTGGCTTTTGGAAGCTTTGACTCTCAAATCCAACAGTTTGATGCGTTCCAAAATAACCCGTTGGAATCCAAGGTGAAGGAACGAGGAGTTGGGGATCTCTTATCCTTTGTATGTTGTTATTTCTCTTCTTTCAAGCAATAACTCTTTCAGTGAAATGTTATTAATTCTGTGCCATGCAACATAGACAAATTCTGGATTTTCTTTGTCCCCACACAGTCAGCAGGGAGTTGTACGGTCAAATCAGCAGCACAGCATCATCCTCTGGTACTGCAGGTTGCAGAACTAGGAGAAAATACTGAGCTATCCCAGCCAAATTTAATTATGTTTTCTTTCCTTTTTCTTTTTTTGTTGATAATTCTATAGTAATAGATACATGGATATTCCTATAGCCTTCCCTCGGAGTGTTATCCCAGTGAACTCAACAGGAATTCCATGTGTTATCATTACAGAACAAAGCCAACTATTAAGTGATATTTAGTAGCTGATTGTATTCTATCAATTATGTACGACAGTGATGGTTATTTATAAAAGAATGTGTTGCTTCTGAACCTTTACACTGTTAAAAGTAAATAGTAATTTAAGTTTCCAACATTTTTTAGTGGATATAATCATGTTGGCATAACATGGATTTAAATTATTCATGAGTGTTTGGTAAAGCAGTTGAACAGTTCATGCTCTGATTTGCAGGGCAAAGCTCTTCCAAGCTGTTCTGTTTTCCTCTGTATTCTCAGTCAAGGCAAACTGTGTCTATGTCTAACAGAGGTGGCAGAATAGCAATATATAGAATTAGTCTGATAAATTGGAGGAGAGAACTAGTACAGTACATGTGGTGAGTGGCTTTTTCCTCCCTTTACATACAAGGACCAATAGAGAGTTGATCAGCAAGTCTCAGATACAGGGGCAGCAGAGTGTAACTGTTTAGCTTAGGGGGTTCTGTTTAACTTTGTGTTCCTCCTACTCATCCCTCAGTGATTACCTGCACTTAACAGACCTGACAGAGTAATTTACCTGGTGGCTCTCCAATGTGGTTCAGCACAAAGCTGGGTAATCTTCAGTCTTTTCACCTCCTTCCAAGTAAAACTGGACCAGAAAAGCACGTTAGCATTTAGTGCTGCTAATTACCTTTTAATTGACATTTGTATTATCATTATTAGGCTGATACCATGCTCTGCTCCACTCTAAATTCCCACTCAGGAAGGAGCTCTTGGAGTCATTTGGGAGAGTTTTGTGAATGTTTAGTAGCTATCACAAAGGCAAGAAAAACCCTAAGAATGATGTGGAAGACAGAGCAGAAAACACGTTATGCAAAAATACAAATATTTTATAAGTGCTTCTTGAGTTTCTGTCCTTCCTATTCAGCCAGGCTGGTGCCACAAGTGACAAAGATTGACTGAACAAAAGTGCTGAGGGATGGTAGAGATATGGAATGGCTTCCACACGAGAACAATTAAATAGGCTGGGGCTCTTCAGGACAGGAAAGAAATGTCTGGAGACAAGGTTATGACAGATCTCTGTAACATCATGAAGTGCATGGAAAAAAGGTGATTAGAGAGTGGTTATTCACAGGTTCCCTTGACACCAGATTTATGGCACACCAAATTAAATTATCTGGCAGAAAATTTAAAGCAATGGGAAGTGTTTTCAAGCAATGCGTAATTAAACTTAAGAATTCATTGCTATGATATATTGCTGGAAGTATATTCAAGTGCAAAAGCAATTTAACAGAGTAGAAGAAAAAACAATTAACTGCTCCTAAACGTAAAGGAAAGGACACATTCTCTGTGTCTGAAGGACCTTTAGGTTCAGATTGCCAGAGGCTGAGGGGGTATATCAGGAAGCTTGAGATAATATCATATACTACCTACACAGCTGCTGCTGAGCACTGATGAATGGGAGTAGTGGAGGATTCAAAGCTATAATTTCAAGCAATTTGTTTACAGATTTAGGTGAACAATTGGTTTGTGTGTGAGATGAGATTTGAAAAACAATCTTGAGAGCTGTGACAGCTGGGAGCCTCCATTCACTGCCAGAAAATAAAGAGATATCTTGTGTAATATATGGGAAGGGTGCTTAGTGCACCCTTTAGAACATCTATCACATGATTGCTGTGATTTCAGGGGACTGGCCCCAGTTACAAGTCTGGACCTCTCAAGGGTTATGCTCCTAGCTCTGAAAAATATGGGGAGTTACTTTTTGCAGGGCAGCTCTGTAGCAAAGGTTGGATTCTGTAATGAATTCTGAAGCTGCTCAAATCATGTTTAATCCAGGACTCGGATCACAGGATGCTTCACAGACAAATCAGAAATGGATTACCAGTACAGCTGCCTTGTAGCCCTGCACCCTAAATTCACAAAGCTTCATGTAACTCATGCAGACATAATTTTGAGAGCACACACAACCCTAACCCACACGTACCCATATTTATATTTCAAAAGTGGGAAAGGGATTCTGTAGAGGCAGCTAATCAGCAGACACAACTGAGTGTGGCTCTTAGAGAAAGATTTCTTTTAAGAAAAGAATTCATAACTCAACATAAAGCCTTTGGTCCGATGGTAGTTTTGCTGTAGAATGTTTGCTTATACAGATTAGAACTTTCAGTGCTGTTGGCTGAGTGAGGACCTGTATTAGTGCAAAGGTTTAAATGTTTCATCATGTTGACAAAGGCAAATGTTGAAGCTGCAGCTGTGGTATAACACCAGGTCACTGCTGAGGTAGTCTCATTTATCATTTGGGCCCCACCTAATCAGTCAAAGGTTTCACAAAGCAGATTAGAGTACAAAATGTAAGCCTAATTTTTCATGGTTACTGTGTGATGAATAATGTGTGTATGTAGATCAGCTCAGATGACATACATTTTCTTCACAATGAGAAGGAGACTTGTATGAGAGATTAAAAACTAACTGGATTTTAGCCCCAAAGCTTTGCAGCCAGAAGTTTAGCTTTCACTTCTCAGTCAAAAATATATTTTTAAAAGAGTAGGTATAAATATTTGTGCAAAGGATCTTCATTATAAAAATTATTCCTGAATTTGGGGCTTTTCTTTGATATTGATCAATGCCTCTTCAACTGATTTACCACTTTTAGATCCCTGAAGAACAGGTAAGTATTAGTACCCCACAGATGATTAACTAAGGCATAGAAATCAAGGTCAGGTGAAATTACTAAATTTTTCTCTGCTTTTTTCTCTTTTCTAATTAATGTCTGACTAGCTCACAGCTATGGAGGTGATATTTCAAAAATACCACTAATACAGACAAACTTGATTATTTGTTTTCACTATTTCTGCAGATGGAGAACTGGAACGGGTTTTAATGCTACAAAATAGAGGGCTCAGTGCTAGAACTTTGGAATTTCTGACTGGGTCCTTGGCACTCTTGAAACTCTCCAGGCCACAAGTAATAGAGAATCTTCATTATAAGCATGGGGTTTTTTAAATATTAGCCCATTAGCTGGTGCCCAGCAACTTCTTACGTCCATATCTTATAAATTCCTTTACAATTCACAGTATAACATTCCAAATCTGTACTTTTAACAAGTAGAAGTAGCTTGTGCTGCTATTTAACACAGTCACCATCCAGCAGTCATTTTTTGTTCTACTATGTGCGGTGCTTCACAAAAATGTAGAAAAAGGACCTTTTGCATTTGGGGATTATGACTTCGTGGGTGTTGAGCGCTCAGTAAAATGTCATTTATTACCATGTAGGACATATGAGCACCTTGGAGGATGGCTTAGACTGTGACAGCTAACACTGGGGTTTTTAATAACAAGTGTGACAGGTGTTTTACTGCATGAGTGATTGGAGGGAACAATGCAGAGGAGATGGGTGTCAGGGCCTCTCCAGGGGTTTGGCAGCAAAGCGGGAATGAAACAGCAGTGGGAAGGACAACAGAGATGTTAATTTGAAGGAAAACAGTGAGTTAAATTGACTTTCAAGGGAGAGGAGAATAAAAGCATTCACTTTACAGTAGCAGGCGAAGAGTAAAGTGTGTTATTAGTGAGAGATGTGCTCAAAGGTGGGTAGTCTGGAAACTGCAGCCAATGAAGGGCTACTTGAGGACATGTCTGAAGTGGTAGTGGATGCTGATAAGGAGACACAGAGAGGTAATTAGATACCTGTTGATATTAAATGTATTAAATTCCATATGACATTTAAAAGAAGAATGGCAAAGTGATAGAGTAGGCTTAGAAATTCAGAAAAATTGAGTTATGACACTGGAATGCAAACAGCACAGCACGGACACTGAAAACAGGCTTCCTGCATAGTTTATTCAAATCTACTTGATTTTCTAATATATGTAAAAAATATTTGTATCTTCTACTTGATGGCTGGGGTTTTTTCACAGCTGAATTAACAAAGCTTAGATTTTCAAAAGTGATTAATTAATTGGGTGCATTTGTACTTGGGTACCTATCTTGAAATCTCTTTAAAAAGCTGCTTTCCTTGGAAGAAACTCTAATTTTCAGAAACACTAAATAGCAGGTTTCTTTAGGATGCCTCATGCAGGCCAGCATATATGGAGCAATATCTGCAAAGGAGAGAGGAATGCACTAGTGAGTTGGCAAGTTTTTACAGAATTTTTTTAACAGCCCTAGAGAAAGTCATCACAGGTAAAATGTGAAGAGGAGTCAAAAGGTGTCCATAAACAAAAAGAGATTGTTAAGAAGATTGGACTGCAGGTACATTACCTGATGGGTTTCTGAATGACAAGGGGAAGCAACTTATCAGAAAAGAGCTGATACTTTTTTTTTCTCCTTTTCTTTTTATTCTTTTTCTCCCCAAACAACTGAATTCAGCATTCAGTAAATTCAGATAATATATACATTTTTTTTGCATGGATGGCAGCATAACCATTTTACTGCTGTGCAAGCAGTATGTACTTTCTGGAAAACACCCCCATAAATCTTGCCTTTGCAAACAGAAGAGATCCTATGCTCCAGCAGCTCTGTGGAAAAAGCAGTGTTCTGTCTTATTCCAGTAGAATTGTTTCTGTTTCTACCACTGCAGTTTTCTGTAGCCTCTCTCTACCATTTCCAGTGAACATTAGATGTGTTCCCTCATTACTCAGCTCTGTGGTGGTTTCCACAGCTCTAAGATCAATATGACAAACCATTCTTACAGTCAGACTTTGCTGAAGAATTTTTTTGCTTTGAGCTGAGGTCAAGAGAAATAAATTTTGTACCTGGATAACCCCGTCAAGTCTGTAATATTAAGAATGTTTTTTCAGCACCTGTGGAATGTTTCACGTTGTGGAGAAAGCACACTGTACATTAATTTAAACCTTGTTATGTCTTACAGTTTGTTGCCAGTGGCTCAGAAGAACTAGAGAGTAAACATGGCTTTCATTAAAGACTGAAAGAGTATAATATCCAGGAAGCAGAGGACCAGAAGGCAGGGTAAGGGTACAAAACTGGTTTTTAAGCACAGTACATGCTGTATAAACTCAGCACTCTCTATGCAAAGCACTTGGCATGCAAATGTCAAGGAGCATTTTATTTACACGAGAGCAGAGCAGGCCACTGAAACCTTGCAGCACATTTGGTACATGTCAGAGCAATTTGAAGGCACTATCCTGGAAGGATGTGATGGAATGAAAGATAATAAAACTCCAAATTCAATATCACTTACCATTTTTAATCCATCAAATTATTTTAAAAATTGAGTTAAAAAGCCCAGCTGTACATTGTATTAAATTTGGATTTTTGCTGAGAGTAAGGAGATCTCAAGATTTTCATTGGGTTCACATTGCTGTGTGTTCTAAGCAACTGAGGTGTTTGCCACAAAATGGTAACCACAGGATGTTAATTCCAGTTTTCTGTCTTGCTTTATTTGCAGCTGCCATATCAGCTCTTTCTTTAAAAGCAAATCTAACTCGTGTGCTGATATGAGGCAAAAGTTCCAGCAGAACATGAAGAAACAGCTTGTTCTTTACATGACACCCTAGTGAGCCTTAAGAGGTAGGAAAAGACTCTTTTCCTGTGTACTCTTAAAACACAACCCACCTTACTGCTGACCAGATTTAGGACTTGTCTTCAGGCTTTTTAAAGATGCATTTATTTGTCTTGACATTCAAATAAGAATATAGGGATGATGATAGACAGTTTTGTGACTGCATACAAAAATATATTACAGGTTAAATATTTGCAGCAATCCTTCTGGAAATATACATTGAATATATTTACTTTGGGCATTGTAGTCCTTTTCACCCAAAAAATCGGATAATAAATTCAGTCCACACACACTCTGTATGGCTGTTTTGCATTTTCAGTTCAGAGATCACTGCTCTGTTCTTCAACATTGCTTTGACTTTTCTCACTGTAACAGTTGCAGTGTCCTCTCTCAAGGCCTTTTCCCAGATCACTGACATCTCTGCCTTGTTGACCAGCTGAAGCCTGTCATCCTTTTCCTCTCACCCAGAAACGTTCATCTGTGATCTTGGTGCAAATTCTCTTGTCTCAGTAAGCACCAGCCCTGAGATCCTTCTTTACTTTGCTGTTCTGAAGGGTGTTGGAGGCACAGTTTTCTTTCTCTCTCCCACTTCTTCTTTCCATTCTTCTGTTCCATTTTGTACTGAGTTTTTTGTCCCCAGAACTTCCCTTGTCTGCAGCCAGGTCCTTGTTTTCTTCCCTGAGCAGCTGCACAAGGAACTAATCATTCCAGCATCCTGCAGCATGGAAGGAAAAGCTGGATGGAAAGTTGCTGTTGCAGCTATTTTAGTATTCTCCATACAGCCACACAAGCACATATCCTATTTGATCAGCATTTGGAGATGAAACCTCAGATTGGCAGGATATAGTATAAGTAATTTATTGGAAAGCAAAGCAGATGTTGTTTTTGTTATAACCCAGCAACACTTTTTGTAGCAGTGCACACATGAACCCAATCTCTGGGTCAAAATTCTAGCTCAGGTCACCCTATTCCATCTCTCTTCTGTTGTACTTTAATTGATATTTTACCCTAAATCACTGTACAGTATTCTGTTTGGTTTTAAGCAATAGATACCTGATAGAAGGTGGAGGCTGAATTTCAGTTTAAATCAAACTTCAGTTTGATTCTGAAGGTTTTCTTACCTACAGCTTAGAGTTGATATAAAATGTAAACACTTTTAATATGTTTGTAGAAATATGAATGTATACAGAACACTGCAAAAGCAAAAACTGGTATGAGTGTCCACAGACTGAACATACAACGTTCTTCACATTCATGGTTTTCTGCCTTCCTTGCTGTCTTCCCTGTTAACTATGCAGCAGTATGATGATGTTTAAAACACAACTTTAACTTTTAAGTTGGGGGGGGGGGGTTGTAGAAGTCAGGAAGAGCAACATTGTCAGAAATACCAGGCTCTGAAACAATTGAAGTATTTTGGGAGAGACACGGAAAGAATAAGACAGCTGGGCATGAGGTGATGAAGGTGGACTAAACTGTTAAGGAGACAGAACCCCTCACTGCTTTGGCTTTGCCAACACGGTTTAACATGTACAGCTCTCTGTGCCAGCCCTGTTCTGCCGAGTGCTGTCTGTGAAGGGTATGGAGCTGAAATCTGTGTTTCTGTTTTAACGAGGCTGGTCACCCCCCTCGTGGAGACACAAAGTCATGGCAGAGCCGGTGCTTTCCCCGCAGCACTTATTTCATTTACAGCAAGGCTGGTTTTTCCGTGCTCTTGCAAACTCTGCATGCCAAGAAAGCTGAATCACAGAGGAACACTTTGCTAGTATGTGCTGTCAGTCGAGTTGTCTTGGCTCTCTCATGAAGTGAGAAAAAACAAACAAACAAATATGTGATGTAAGAGTACACTGAACAGAGCTTCCCTTTTCAAAATATCTCAGTGCATGGATGGATTATAAAAGGCCTGTGTGGGACACAATTATGGTTACCCGGAAAATCTAACGAGTGATAATAAGGATTTGGCTGTACAGCCACACCAACAGGGTACTACTCAGTGTGGAACTGGCCCTGCTGAAGATGAGAACCATGTGTTTCTTTTTTTACTGGCTTAAGGAGGAAATTTCTCACCCCTTTCCTGCTGTCCCAGCAACATGTATCCTAAACTGGAGGGAGGCAGCACTTCCTGATGATGCGCTGCCAAATCCTGAGCCTTTGCAATGAAAGCCACAGCACACCCCAGTCAGGCACAGTCTAGAAAGGTTTGGAACATCAGTCTTCAGGGCTGTCAAAGCAGCAGTGCAGAATTTAGACAGAACGTTTAAAAAATACCAGTCTTTTCACAAGAATTTTATTTTTATTGTAATGTGTAATTCTCCTCCTGTATCTCTATATTCAGAGTGAAATGGTAAAGGCTGCGCGTTACAGTGCACTTACATCAATGAGATTTATGTCAGCACAGAGAGAGAGGAGAATGATGATAGCACAGGGAAAAGGGATATTAAGAAGAATCAGAAAGTGTGTCAGATCAGGCACTGATTGCATTGGAAAATCCACAGAGGCTAAACAAAATAAATAGAGGAAATATGAAGAGGACAAATGTGTAGCAAAATGCAAGTATTTGTTGGGATTTTATTATTTCCTTTCATACCCAAGTTTGTCATCCGAAATTTGATGAATAATGAAGAAGCCCTTATTTCAATGCCCAGCGAAGGGAATTGGTGCTCGAGTCCAATAAAGTAAAGCTCTTTCTCATTATTTGTATTAAAGGTCCCTTCCAACCCGAACCATTCTATGATTCACTCGGAATTACGTTGAGTAGTGCATTCCCCAAAGAGCCATTTTTTCTGTGGAAGTTATGGAAATGGTGAAGTGGCAGAAATGCCAGACAAACCCAGAGTTATTAATCAGATATTCGTTTGTTCCCAAAGGCTTCTCTTTTATTGCTGTTCTTCTTTCTGCTAAAGGTTTCCTGTATTGCTTGCCAGACTCACTCAGTCTGTGAAGAGTGACTATTTTGTACAGAAAATCTTAAAGAAACTGGAAAAATATGGCAAAAATCCTGACTTGAAAATTTACCAGCCACGTTTCTTAAGGTTCTGGCTGATGTACACACATGGGGAACTGTGTGATGATGGTGGGCAGAGCAAGGCACCTGTGGGTAAAATTCCTGCACTGGAAAGTTACCAGGTGAAATCATTTAGAATCTCACTAAATGAAGTGCCTTTTTACAAGGCACTTTGAACTCTTCAAGAGAAAGATGTTATGACAACCATTGGTTTATTAATCAGTATCATTTTCTTATTATGTCATTGTTGATTTATTTAGTGCCTCAGTGAAAGTGACACCTGTCATAAATTGTTAGGACACTTGAAGTGAAGCATTAACTTGTGCTCTGAAAAGGCCTGTCCTTCCCAATAGTTACATCCATGAGCCATTTAGGTTATGAATTATGTCCCTGATCCAGGAACTCTGCGGAAATGTTTGTTTTGCTTCAGCAACACTAAAAAAACCCAACACCTACCTCTCAAGATCTTGAGCTGGGCTCAACTCTTGTCGTTCTAGAAGAAACTGGCGGATGAGGAAGGACATAAGGAAGGCGAGAGAACCCCTTCCAACTCAGAATATTCTGTGACTCTGTGACATTAGACTTACACACCTCAGTGTAGTGTAACCAGGTAACTAACTTACCAAAATGGCAACGATGCCACCTTGTGTTTTGTGTTCTCATCTCAGTTATTCCTCTGATCTGCAAGACCAAGAGAAATCTCTCAGAGGCAGCAGGTTATTCTGCATTTTACACATATCAAGTGTTATCTTGCCTTACAAATGCAAAGGTTTAGCACCCAATATGTCGAGATCAGAGTATCTGTATTGTCTTGATGTTTTATAAGAATAAGAATTTTGTGTTGTGCCCTAATTTGCATAGTCACTAACCAGAGAGGCAGCCTTGCTTTAATGTTCAATAGAAAAGTCTTAGTTGCTTGCTGGGTTTAGATCTGTTTCTTCACTTTTCCTTTGCATTTTGATCCTTAATATTTGTGCAACAGTAATAGAGGAAAAACGTGTGAGCATACCTGAATCTCCTGTCTATTTCTTTATACACCTTTCAAAAATAGCCACAGAGGAAGGAGGACCTTGGTGCTCCTTCTGACAGGAATAGATGAAAGAAAGTGTTGTGTTTTAGGAGAAGGATCACTGAATATGATCTGGCTGAGATTCCAGACGAAGTTCTTATTTAACTCCAAGTTGTTTTAATGTAGGTGCCTTGATAGTAGGTAGAAGACAGATGCAAGTTTAAAACACAAAGACTTGACTTGGAAGGATTCAGGATATAAACTGCAATGAAAATTGTAGGATTTTCCTTTTAGTTCATTTTAGAGCATATCCAAAGCTCTGAATGTTTTGGTGACACAAAGCACTACACTGTTTGCAAAAGCTATTGTATTTGTTTTGTTGTCACAATGGTCAAATTTTCCCACACGTTGTCTCTCTCTTACACATAAATCAAAAGCTCAGGAAAGAACCTTTTTTTGTTTCAGTTTGTACATGAAAGTACTGTGCAGACGCCAGCAGAGGTTTTCAGTGAGTGGTTTCAGATGAGTAGCCTCCCTCTGTGCTCAGTCCTTCACCTCTTAATCACAGGTCAGGTAATTTCTTCAGACATTCCTCTAACAATACCTACAGTATAACAAGCATCTACTCAGCACAGATATACTGATTTCCATGTCTAAATAGATTTGTCTCTATCTGCTCTTCCTTTTAGATCTCCTTTATGAAAAATAGCCCAAGCACAGGGTAGTTTTAAGGTTTAAGACAAATTTTTTTTTACATTAATTCTTTCTATTGTAATTCAGATGTTTTATTTTTGCATTGAGTTTATCCTGTAGTTACTGTATGATTATGGATTAATTCTTGCCTTATTAAAATCAGTACTGAAAAGCCAAGCATCCTTAGACACATTTTCCAGGTTTCCAGCTGAAGATACATTTTCCCCTGATTACCTCAGCGTATGTTTGCCATTACTGTGCAGGGTAAGACAGTAGAATGACACCCCTGAACTCACAGACAGTGATAAATATGTGATGTTTGTGAACCTGTCTGGGCTCAGCCATGTATTTCCTGGTGGGTTGCAATTGCTGGGTGATGGAATTGGTGACCCAGTGACCTTCTAAGCTGATGATCTTACTGAGCTGCTTCCCTGCCTGTCAAAGCTTCCAGAGGACCCGCTGGGGAGAAATGCCACAAATGTTGAAATCCTTCAGCCACAATAAGGGGAAACAATGCCAGCTTAGGGTCCAGGTGGGTAGAATGACCGCTGATGTTATTGATTAATGGCCTTATTTTGTTTCCCCTCATTATCAAGAGGTAATTGTTTTTCAGTGAAAAGAGCCAGATTTCTTTGATTTACAGACATAAGAAAAAAGTAAGCTCTTAAAGTTCTGTTGTGCTCCTGCTTTTCTTATTCTATGTGTGGCAGTGATAAGCTAGCATTTGTACAAGTAATGAAGCCATATTTTCCTCTCTCCATGCTTTTCTTGTCCTCCATCTCAAAATCCAGTGAAAAACTTCTCTCCAAAAGCTCCGGAGGGCTGGCCAGTGAAATAAGTGGCAGTGTTTCTGCCAGAGGAGCAGGATGAAGTCTTGTTCTGACCTCGGAGACCTCAACTGCACTGTTCACTGTATTCTTCCATTTCTTTTAGCTTCCTTGCAGCCCTCTGTGGGTTTTGAGAGACCCCAGTTCTCCAGTTCTTTTGGGATCATATCACCATGGTCTGAGTCAAGTTTCACTGTCAGTGCTGTTCTATTACCCTGTGGCAAACAAAAAGAAAACTTAGCAGCTCAGGAGCTCCTGGTGGAACTGTGGTTACACAGGGTGGAACCTTCATCTTGGTCCTTCCTCCCTCTGTGGAATTGCAGAGAGAAGGTTGTGAAATTTCCTTACATCCAAGAAACAGGAACAAAGGGGCTTGTCCTCAGCTGGAGTGCATGAGCCATGAAGCCAAAATCCAAACTTTATACCAGCCAAACATGTGACCTAATGTGTCTGCCCTCATGTAAGATGAGATGATTGTGCTAAATGTAATTAGCTAATGTCTGAGCAGCTCTTTGAGCTCCCAAAGCAGGATGCCAGTGTGAATGTTAGGAGTCTCTAATGTTTTCATGGGATTATGAAATATCTTATGTATGCTTTGTTTTATGATGGCTCTTGTCTCTCCTATTGCCACCAGGTAACAAGGGATTTCTCCTCTAAGAAGAAAATAGATTGTCTTTTTTTTTTTTCTCCAGCATCAGCCTAATGAAAAAAATTCTGCTTCTTTCATTCTGAGGTGGCAAAGAGCCCCTCTGGAGAAAAATAGCAGCTTTCCTTTTCCTGCTTCCTGAAAACTTACAGTTTCCTCAGGCAAGATCCTCAGCCCTGCTCAAGTCTTTGTCTGCCAACTTAAAGGACTGAAACAAAACAAAGAGGTGTTAGGTCCATACTGAGGTAAAAGAGGACTTGGGGTTTTTAAATTTCTGAGGTTTTTTTGCCTGC